CAAAGGATTGCTAATCACGATTGTAACTTCCCCTACCTCAAAGGATTGCTAATCCACAATTGTAAATTTCACTACATCAAAGGATTAGTATCTACCATTGTAAACTGCTGGGTATAAAGCTTTGTTATTTCCCTTGCTTGGCACTGTTTCTCCTAGGATTGCATCCAGGGGACAGTCGCAGGCCGGCTCCAGTAAATGCTCTCTATTTTCTAATTTGGCGTGTGTCTGGTTACTCTCGGCCCGTCCATTTCATTTGGAGGTCCCACCGAGATAGCCCTCTGGGCACCAGACACGGGCATCTCTGGAAGGTCACCGTCCAGGGGGTGGCCACCAGGAAGACGTTCCCTGGCCCCGAACGCTGAGATAGCCTGTGCGCACCAGGCTGCCCGGACCACAAATCCTCAATTGGGCATAGAGCAATCTGTAATCTGTCTGTTCTGTCCTTCCAGGCTTTGCGTGAGGTCCAGAACGCTGTGCGCTCAGTCCTGAAAGCTGCGGGGAAAGAACCAGACCCTGCAACTTCATCGGACATCCTGTCACCGGGAGACTGGGTCCTCACTCGCAAGCTTCCAGCTGGACCAGCCCTGGAACCACGGTGGACGGGCCCGTATCAAATTATCCTCTGCAACCCCTCTGCCGTCAAGGTTGCCGGCCGCAAGGCATGGATACATCGGTCACACATCAAGAAGGCCCCAGAGCCCAACTCCACCGCCTGGACAGCAGAAGCAGTGTACGACCTAAAGCTCCGACTCTCCAGAACTTGACTCTTTTTCTCTTTCTTTTTGCTTGTGGGATGACTTTGGGTGACCCCTATAGCCCTACCCTATCCAGGTGGATTCTCTCCCGAACTAATGATGGGACCACCGTCCAAGCTCTCACCAGTTACGGAGCCCCCACTTTCAGGTTTGACCTTTGTACCCTCTTGGGATCAGGATGGAATCAAAACTGGGCTATACGGGACCCTATCACTGGGGGAAGGGGATACTGCCCCACTATTCCCATTCCCACCACTCAAACCACACCCGGGGCAGGGGAAGTGAGGATCAGAAGTATTGAATTCTATGCTTGTCCGGCCACGGGGAATCCTTCCTGTCAGGGTAGTAGTCACTTTCATTGTGCAGAATGGGGTTGTGAGACTGTGGCCGGGTGGATTCCTAGGGGCGGCCGGGACCCCCTAATCACCCTGGAGAGACAAAGCCCTCTCCCCGCCTCCTGCGGGCCTGGGAAATGTAACCCTATGATCCTAACAGTCAAGCAGGACACTGATGACTCTTGGAATCTCGGGCATTCTTGGGGTTTAAGGTTATACATGACTGGGTGGGATAATGGGGTCCTCTTTACCATTCAGAAAATCGCAGTTCCCGCCCGTACACTCCCAATAGGTCCGAATCCCATCCTTAACCCACAAGCCATGTTGACTCTCGCCCCACCATCTGTTAGGGACCTGGTACCAGAGGCTCCCGAAAATCCAGGGACCCCCACTAACCTAGGTTCCCCCATTTTTGACACACTCTCTGCTGTCCACTCATTCCTAAATTTGTCTGATCCAAACATAACCACCTCCTGTTGGCTGTGTCTGAATCCAGCCCCCCCCTATTTCGTAGGAATTGCTATCGAACTTAACATCACCTCTGTGGGAAAGTTGTCTTTAAGTAAGTCCAAACGACCCTCTGCCATACCTGCCCACTGTAACCCAGACAAGCCTAGACTTACCCTAGACGATGTCCAGGGCAAAGGGATGTGTTTGCTCGGGCCTGACTACCCGCTGCGGTCCTCCCCGTTCAACGCTACGTGCACTTCAGCCATTCTTATTTCCCCCACATCCAAAAGCTCTGACCTCCTGTTAACCGCCCCACCTGGAGTATGGTTCGCTTGTACCAGAGGACTCACAACCTGCATACAGGGCATTCATTTCCTCAACCCGACCGAGCTCTGTGTAGTGGTGCATGTCTTTCCTCAGGTATATGTCTACTCAGAGGAAGGGGCAGCTGAGCATTTTGGCCTAACTCGCTCCAGGAAGGCTGCACCTATCTTGGTTCCTATATTGGTGGGACTCGGAGTGGCCGGCTCCGCTGCTGTTGGGGCCTCAGCCCTGATACAGGGAAAAGCCAACTATGGTGCCTTGAGTGCACAGGTAGACAAGGACCTACGCTCCTTGGAAGAGCTAGTCTCACACCTTGAAACTTCTCTAGACTCCTTGGCTGAGGTGGTTCTCCAGAACCGCCGAGGCTTGGACCTACTGTTCCTCAAACAGGGAGGCTTATGCATGGCGTTGGGAGAAACCTGCTGTTTCTACGCCAATCGGTCTGGAGTTATTCGGGAGTCCTTGCAAGCCCTTAGGCAGCGGTTAGATGAGAGGGACCGCGCACGGGCAACGGGGTCTTCTTGGTATCAGACCCTGTATAATTGGTCCCCCTGGCTAACCACCCTAATCTCCGGAATGGTGGGCCCTCTGGCCCTTCTCCTCCTTGGGTTACTCGTGGCCCCTTGTTTCATAAAATGCATCACCCGCTATGTCCAGAAACGAGTGCAAGCACTCCAGTTGTTTGTCCTGCGTCAATCCTATGCTCCTCTGAACTCTAATGAGTCCCCCGTCTGACTCTTTTCGTCCGTGAAAAGGGGGGAGTGAAGTGGACTGAGTTGTCACAAAAACAATCCCCCACCCTAGCCTGACCTCCTTAGTTTCTACAACAAAGGATTGCTAATCACGATTGTAACTTCCCCTACCTCAAAGGATTGCT